GATTACATTTGGTTTTAATTTAGACTTCTTGTTTGCTTGCATGATTTCTACTTTCAAACTTAAGTGTGGTTGTGTTTTCTCCATGAATTTTGAGTAGTTTTTTTTTTATATTTTTCCTTAAAATGACAAGTAATTAAATGTTTAAAAGAAGTTGTAAATTATTCATCTTTAATGTTGGAAGAATTTATGATGATTTTAAACCTTGTACTTCATTTTCTTCTTAATTTGACCAATTAAGATGTTAATACCTATTATGATAACATGTAAGATCTGAGATAATATTGTCTCATTCAACATATGATAAGAATCACATGAGATTGTATGAATGAGAATGTAATTTATATGATTGAGTACAAATAAATAAGGAAATAAACTTTAAAGGGTGTAAAATTAAAGGACCTAAGAGTGACAAGCTAAATCCCCCAATTTGATTTTAATTTTAGGTTTTGATACGAGATGTTAGCTCCCAAGTGGAGGGAGAAGAGGGAACTTTAGAGTGAGAGCTAGTATCTTCCTTAACTAACCCGTCTTCAAGACTATCAAACTTTAAGTTAGTCAATGTTCTTTATAACATCTCTAGTAAGGGTAAACAATATTATTGCTCCTATTTGACACAACACAATTTGAATACTTCTACAACAGAATTCTTATACTTGTTACTGATTCATGATAAGGAAAAAAATATTTTATTTATATTTTCTTCATCTTACAAATAGCTAGTTAAATTTAGTTGTTTATTTTACTTTCAATTATAAAAAATTACAAAAAGAATCGAACTTTCATTTCTATTATAGCATCTAAAGTTTTAGAAAGAATATTTTGCTAAGTAGAATTTGTTATCTAATTTCATTTGATTTTTGTTGCATATTGTAGTTTTCCCTGTGAGTTCGATATTCAAAGCTTAATCAAAAAGTCCTATATTACTTGATAACGATACGTATACTTGCGTAGTATCCAATAATTAAATACAATATTTTCACTCCTATTTGCTTTGGAGTCAATTTTTTGGCGTCATTCTAAAACGATCAAGTTTTTGGCGTTGTTGCAAAGTAAGAATTATAAGTAAGGAAAAATTAAGAATATAATTGCATATATCGCATTGACATATAAAAGTCGGGATCATTCTATCGCCTACTTAAAAAAAAAACATAGTGTTTTGGTTTGGTAAGGGATGATTTGAGCCGATGGTTGGTGAAGATCTTGAATGGATGCTTTTGGAAGCACAAGTAGAGCTTGTGGACAAAAACAATGAGACAAAATATTAATATTTCTATATTTGGATACCTGAGCCCCGCTCCTTGGAGGACTTGACTGACATAGTAGATCGTGAATTACTTCCCTTGCTCCTTTCAGACTAAATCAAGCTAATGGCCTCGGGTCCAACTTTCAAATACAGAGAGAGCTTTTCATTTGGTCCGACCAACTCTGTTCTACCCGAATAAGCTCAATTCAAACCAACCAATTCCCAATGGGACTAATAAGGTTCCAGTTGGCCTGAACAAGCTTTGTTCAAACCGATTAGGCTCCACTCATCCCTGACTAGGTTCTACTCAGCCTAGCTAGATTCCACTCAACCCTGACTAGGTTTCAATTAGCTCGATCAGGTATAGTCAACCCGCTAAGCTCTGATCAGTCTTCTCCAATCGACCACATAGGACTATGAGGTATTATTGTAATTTTATAATAATTCTTCTCCTATAGATAGAGTAGCATGTTGACCCCATTTTTATGAGGTCGGTCTGCTTCTCTCTCGAAAGTCTAGGATCAAACTTTAGGATCTCCTAGTGGCTTTGCCTAGAGGACTAGCGTTGGGACCCATACCAACTAGAATTTGAACTATTTCATGAATTCTTGTGGTTTCATGTATTTGATATTGTATCCTCAACCTTTTATTGAGTTGATTGAGGCCAAATTATTGAAGCTCGAGTTGAGTTCCTATAAATTTGGAAATGTTCTAAGCAACCCTTTCAAGCTTAGAGACGTGGCTCTATACTTTAAGTGATTTTTGACCTTTTAGGAATCTTTCAATTAGGCTTAATATTTTCTCTTAATTCATGCATTTGGTTCAAGATGAACTCAAACATGTTTGGAGTTCGTCTTAAATAATGGTTGAATTTAAATCAAAAATAAAATGAAAGAAATTAACTGATTGAAGTACAAAAAATCAAGTTAAAATTACACAAATCAAAATTAAAAAATTTTAAACTCAAACTAAAAGCAATATAGAAAATTACATCTAAAAAAATCAATGAATCAGTTAAATCATATAATCCTAATTAAGACTCTAACTAAACATAAATAAAATAAAATCGTTAACAAAATTGTAATTAAAGAAAAAAATGATAAAAATGACAGAAATAAAATAATTTTAAGTATTGAAAATTTAAAGCAATTCCGAATAAAAAAATTTTAACAAGTTTAATCAATTGAAATAAAGATTCAAATAAAAAAATTGAAATTACAAATATAATTAATCCCAATTATAAAATAACTTAAAATTGAATAAGAAATATACTAAATCAATCCAAATAAATTTAAAATAAAATTGAAACAAATAATAAACAATATTGAAATGATCTTATTTTTATAAAAATGGAACAAAAAACTTAACTCAATACAAAATTTTGAAAAAAATCAATTCTTATATGATATTAATTAAGTAGATTAATTAATTAGAAAAAAAATCCTCTCTCCTTTGGCCTGGCTATAAATAACCCCTTTATCCTGAGAAAATATTACATCAGGAATCCGGACACAACTCTGTGTCAGGATAAATTAATGTATGCCACCTGTACAATCCCAGGCCCACTGAAATAAATAAATAAAAATGTTGATTTTGTAGTTGTATTGTGATGATTTTATGGTTCTATTGCGATAATTTTGTGGTTTAAATACAACCACAAATTCACCACAATACAACCACAGAATCACCATAGTACAACCACAAAACCAACACAATACAACCACAAATTCACCACAATACAACCATAAAATCAACACAATACCACCACAAAATCACTGTAATATAACTACAAAATCACAACAATACAACCACAAATTCACTACAATACAACCATAAAACCACCACAGTACAATCACAAATTCACCACGATGCAACCGTAAAATCAATGCTTTAACTTATTTTTTTCAGTGTGCCCGAAACTCTAAAGATGGCTTAAATTAATTTGAGTCTGGACACAAAGCTACGTCTGGTCTCCTGATGTAATATTTTTTCCTTTATCCCAAGCCCTAACCCGTTTTTTTTTTTATCCATTCGGTCTCCTCCTTCATTTCATTAGTGAGACTTCTTCCATTGAGCCGCACACGAGCTATGGAGACTTCCTTCCCCCTCGCGTTCAGCCCGCTAGAATTTATTCTTGCTTCAATCGTTGAAATATGTTAAGAAGACGTAAACAACTAAAATTTTTAACAACTTGAAGTGTTGTAGATGTAAGACCAGAACATGAATCTCATATTGTCATAATAAAATCTACTAAGAAGTCGTAAAAAGCTAAAATTTTTAACAACTTAAAATTCGAAAGTCATTAAAACTTAAAGTGAACCCTTAATGAACCCACATTACCAAACCAATTTTAACCCCTTCTACTCAGGTCTACGAAGACTTCTTGGACGACAAAATCCATGGTTGCTAACAAGAATCATCTGGTCGGAGTAGGTTTAACTACCTCTTTGGGCTAAGCAGATTATGGACTACGATATTCCGGAATGGTGAAAGGCCATGGGCATCTTGACCAGAATTTCTTAAATAAAAATTTAATTAACTTCTTCATACTCATTATACATTTTTACCTTTTGAGTCATCATTTTGATGAAGAGGTGTTTTGGTAGAGAAGGAACTTCAATAAGATGATGAAGAGGTAACATGAGTTTTTTCAGTTGAGTTAATTTTATTTACTTGTTGATTTTGTGATTAGTGATATTCATCATGTTGTGATGACGCTCACTCTTGACCAACTTCCATTAAGAGTTGAAGAATTCAAGCTTAAAGCAATTCCATCATGCATATATATTTCTCTAAAGTAAAAGATGGATTGCCTCCTTAATTAAAAGACTAGTTGTTAGCCATTGAAGAAGTATTTGAAGTATGTTGGGAATTGCTTTCCAAGCATAATATTTTATATAATATATAAATCTAACGCATACATATATAAAAAAAAAATATCAAAAGATGAGACACTAGAGATTTTACATGAAACTCAAAAAAAAAAAAAAAAAAAAAAAAAAAAAAGTAATTCTATTTATTTTCCAAGTGAATTTTCTATTGATATATCATGTCTATTAGAGAAGAAAATAGTTGTAACTTCATTTAAAACCCATGATATACAATAGTGGGGCTGGAGCAACCGAGCAATATCAGGTTGCCTTTGGCAGCAGGAAATCTTTGTCTACCTTGACGTTGTGAGATATGGTAATCAGATATAAGAATACAAAAGGAAGCAAAAATTAAGGATCATGTATTACATGGTGAAGAAAATGAACTCAAAGAGACTCACTCAAAATTAGGAGCATAAGAGCTAGAGCACCAGATGAAGATCAAACTGTTAAAGGATGAAAGGAAACTTTATCAGCTCTAATTGTAAGAGAGCATGAGTTCGAAAACGAAGTGCCCTTAGCACCAGACAAAGCGACGGGGGCGAGTCAAAACATACAACTACAAGAGCGATAGGAAGTAACATTTTTGTTATATTTTTGAGTTTGAAGTATTAAATATGTAAGTAGTATTTTAATGTGATTAGAAATGTAAATTATAATCTCTTGACTGTCACATATATGATTTTAGGCTACTTAGCAAATATTAGTTAGTATTATTTTTATGCATTTTATTGAAACAACATAAAATTAGGTTCATTATCAAAATCAATTACATTTTTGTTCATCCAAAAAGATGAATCAAATTGATTTAATTTCTTAAATGTTAGAAACAAACTCTGTTAATTTAGTAAATTTAGAATTAAAAAATTCAAATAGAATAACTGCACCATACAGGAAGCAATACATCCTTTTTGATCGTTCCCCTTTCTTGTTCGTCTTCCTGTGGTCGAAGCCCTGCCGCTTTCTCCGTCTTGATAATCTTGTTGCCGCCTCCACTACACACTTACTACTTAGATTTTGTTTCCTCACTCTCAGACCTCTCAAATCACTGAAAGAATTTCCTTATTGCTCTCCTTAGATAACTTAGCAAAGCCATGTCCGCCGATCAAAACCCTAGCAGCTCATCGGCTCCGGAGCAGGCAGCAAAACCGCCTCCAAGGGATTCAAGGAAGAAGAAGGAAGATAAGAAGGATGAAGATCTGGTGATTCTTTTGTTAACCCTTTTATAATTCCATGAAAATTTTAGCTCGGCGTTTCCCTGGTGCCTGTGGGAATCGTAGTTTCCCATTTGCCATAATCGATGCTAACATTGACGTTTCTGTGATTTGTTCAGTCTGACGAGGACCTGGCTCTGAAGCAGCAGCTCGAGCTGTATGTCGAACGCGTCCAGGATGCTAATCCCGGTGTCCAGAAGCTTGCACTAGAGAGCATGAGGTATCTCGTTTGGTTGATTATAAGGGTTTAATCATATTTACTGCCAGACCCATTAACTACTTTGAAGTAGTTTCTGATGACATATTGGGATTTCTCGTTTCTAATGATGTTTTGAAGTCTAGTCTATTCTCTCAATCCTCTTTCACTAGATGGTGACGTCCTTTTATTTTTCTTCTCCTTTTGTTTGCAGACAAGAAATTCGATCAGCAACAAGCTCAATGACATCTGTTCCTAAGCCTTTGAAATTCCTTCGTCCACACTATGGAACATTGAAGGCATACTTTGAGACAATATCTGATTCCGACCTAAAGGTTCTAAACATTTTATGTGCAACGTTTCTGCATGAAACGGTTAAGTATTAATAATCATCTCATCGCTCACTGAATTTATTGTATTGCAGAAATACCTAGCGGATATACTTTCAGTGTTGGCATTGACCATGTCTGTTGAAGGAGAAAGGGTTAGATTACTAAATATATCATGATGACCATTTAGCATATATTTTCTTTATGATCTTCATTGAGCTGTCTGCATAATTGTTGTGCTTTCATAAACCTGGGAAGTTGGCAACATGATTGGTGATAACTTTGAGTTTCACATTAGGCTCTCCGGTACACAAGTATGATTATTATTTTATCATCATATGACATTTATGTTTAGCAATTCCTGAACCATGCATCTGCATTAGTGTTTGTTCTTGTAGATTGATATAGTTTGTTAGCACATTCTATTGTTTGTACCATTGTATGCTATTGGTTCTATAAGATGTCTTTGTTTGTGATTCTTATATTTTCGCATATACCTTTTACAGGAGAGTCTGAAATATAGATTGTTGGGTTATGAGGGCGACATTGGTTCTTGGGGACATGAATATGTACGGTAAGTTATTTATTTTGCATCAATATCGGTATTTTACTTTATACGAGCATGCTCACACTAGTCACAACTTTTTGTTGGTTATTGTAAAAGAAAATTGACTTTTTTTAAGAAAAACGCGTGACCTTATTGTAGCATTTTATTGATGTTATTGAATCGTTAGCATCACCTGTTGTATACCGACTAATTGAAGCTCCTTTGAGGATTTTCTTCCGAAATTTTGTCTTTAGAAGCCTGCAACTAATAATAAGTTAATGCCTAATATAAAATTAAGTAATTTCAAAATATATTTATTGAAGGTTTAAATTTGTGCTAATGGGTATTAAGGCATTTTAATTCGTGAGACAGGCACAAGCCTCAAGGCAGTTTGAGGTTTAAGCCTCAAATTTAAAAATTATATGAAGGAAAAAATATTATATAAATCTCAAAATGTGAAGTAAGAAATAACATATTAACTTTCTAGTATATCAACACATTAAATAAGCACAAATTGAATATACACAAATTACTAAAATAAGCACGATGGGGTATTATATACCCCATTTTTAGTATTTAAAAATGGGTATTAATATTAAGCACAAATATTAATAAAATAAAGAAAATGGGATTTTAGAATTCAGCGAAATTGTATTATTGATATGAAAATGGGGTATAAATACCCATGGATGAATTCTAGAATAGGTAGATGAGAAAAAAGAAATAATATAGAAGGAAAGATATAACATTTATATTTCCAATTAATCAATTCATAATATATACTTGGAGATAAAAGGAACAACATAAAATAGAAAAATCGAAAATAAGGAAGGAGAAATTCAGTCTAAGTAAATAAATCTAAAATAGGAAAGAAAATAAATTTAATCCAAGGAAATAAATCTATTCCTCATAATTTCGAACAAGAATAAATTATTTCTTAATATAACTTCTAACACTCTCCTTCAAGTTGAAGCATGATTGAAAATAATATTCAACTCAGATTAGAAAACAACAAACAATGGACAAGGAAGACTATTTGTGAGTTAGAACTTGAAGTGTTCATTCCGTACTTAGTAATCAACCCAAAGAACATTTAATGATATTTTAGTTGACTGTGATTTTCTTTGACTGCATTGTCTATTGGTAGGCGAAAGACTCATCGTGGTAATATTGTAGGGAAGTGCAGGAAAGTAGACAATCTTCAGGAAAAGTTGATTCCTAGTCATTTGTGGTTGTCTTAAACTGTAGTTTCTACAATGTCTGTGAGTAGACAAAAAGCTTCTCCAGGTAATATTGTAAGGAAGTTTGTAATGAAGTAGCAACTTGTGGGAAAAAGCTGCAAGGTATGACCTGCAAAAAAAAAAAGGAAGTAAGCTCCGAAGTAGGGTTTGTTGCAGGAAAGATTCCGAAGGAGAGCTGATGCAGCAAAAAACTCCGGAGGAGGGTCTGCCGCAGCAAAATTTTCGGAGGATGGTCTGCCGCAGCAAAATTTTCGGAGGGTCTGCCACAGCAAAAGTTTCAGAGGAGGGTCTATTGCTGGAAAGATTCCGGAGGAGTTGATGCAATAAAACCTTCATAGGAGGGCTTACTACAGGAAAAACTCTGGAGGAAGGTCTGCTGTGTGAAAGATTCCGGAGGAGGGTTTGCCGCAGGAATGATTCTGGAGGAGGGTCTGATACAAGGAAAAACTTCGAGAGGAAGAGGCTCTGCAGCGAGTAGGGCATGCAATAAGATACTTCTGACTGCAGAGAGAGTTCCAGTGACAAAGGAAAATAGAGAAGGACCTCCATGGAGTTTTTGGGCAGCAGAAAAGAAACCGATGCAGAAGGGCATGTAGGCCATTTGTTGGGATTTCATTCAAGGATACATCTAGACTCGCCTCTGTAATAACATTTCTCAAGTCATTTTGAAAGCATGCCAAAGATGAACTACTATGTAACAAACTTCTCTTCGTTTCCTCAATCCATGCATATGAAATGGAGGAGGACGCCACAGAGGAGGCTGCAGGAATTTGCAGCTGACAGGAATTTGCCGGTAAGGTTTTCTGCTGTTAGGGACTTGCAGAGAAGAGGTTTAATTGCCTGAAATATGTAGGGTAAAATCTGCAGAGGTAGATTCGATAGCTGGAAAACCTGCAAGAGGGAGTTCTGGCAGGGGGGAAAGGCTGCATGGGAGAGAATCAACCGTAAGAGTAGGTCCGACAGTCTTGGTAGGAGGTCTAGCCGGCAACAAGTAGGTCCACATGAAGTTCTGGCAGCGTGAAAGGCTCCAAGCGAGAATTCCATCATCGGGAAAGGCTGCAAGGGGAGTTCCAGCGGTTGGAAAGGCTACAGGGGATAGTTTTGGCCGTGGGTTGGTGCTTTGGCGGTCTTGGGAGGAGATCGAGAGGTCCGACAACTAATTATCTCGCAGGAAGGATCAACAACTAAAATTTGTAGAGAAAATGGTCATGGGAAAGCCTGGAGGGAAGGCAGTGGGAAAAATGGCTCCTCCCCTTTGTGCGGTTTTGCTGCAAGCAGAGAATCGCGATTTCCACCAGAATGAATAAATCCCAGCGGAATTTTAACAAGGAAAATAAAATTGAGATTTCCACAAGAGTGGAAAACTGAGATTTCCTTTAGAGAGAGAGAATGATTTCCACTAGGAAAACTGAGTCGAGATCTCCACCTGAAACACAAAATCAGGATCTGCACCTGCGAGGGACAACAATTCTTCAAAAAAGTGAAAAATAGAGATTTCAACTGGGGATCTTCTGTGATATGCACTGGAGAGAAACAAAATCCCACTGTCGGACCTAGATTTCCACTTGAAAGTGAAAATAAGGCCCGCAGTCCTTTGAAAACGCAAGCCTATAGCTACTTGAATGTTTGCTCAGGGAAAACCATTGAAATCACAATGTCGCGGTGAATTGGGCGTCTTCTATGCAGGGAAAAAATGAGGCGCAACAAAGGCTGCAAGTATTGTCGGCTACAAAAATCAACTCCTATGACTGGTTCTTGCCTGAATACAGGGAGAATCTAGGGAGGTCTCCGATTCTAACGGCTGCCCGGAGAAGTTCTGGCTGAGAATCACTCTCTTCCTACAGGGAGGATGGCAGGAAGAAAGTCCGCCGACTTTGAAAGGTGGGCCAGTGGCTAGGGTCAAAAACTTATCTCTGATATCATGTTGATTTTCAAAATTCAACGAAATTGTATTATTGATATGAAAAGAGGTATAAATATCTTTATATGAACCTAAAATAGGAAAAACCAAAAAAAGGAAATAGCATGAAAGGAAAGATATAACATCTATATCTCCAATTAATCAATTCATAATAATTACTTGGAGATAAAGGAAACAAAATAAAATATGAAAGCCTAAATAAGAAAGAAAATAAATCAAATCCAAGGAAATAATTCTAGAATAGGAATAGAAATAAACTCAATCCAAGGAAATAAATCTAATCCTCATAACTTGTAACAGGAATAAATTATTTTCTAATATTACTTCTAATAGTACATGTTAACATCCTAATATTAAATCACAAAATAAGATGAGTAATTTAAACATTAAACCACCAAAATAAGTTTAAATATCAAAATAAAATAACAAAACATCTTAATATAATAATTAAAATAAATTCAATAAAAGTCTATTTTTCTTCACGCATTTTATCCCCCATTAAGTAAAAATATACTAGCTATTGACATTCAAATGTTTAAATTCAAAAGTCCATATTACTCTCATCACCCATTGAACTTCAATTATAATTATTGATATAATGAATTATTTTCTCTCTTGCTTCACCCTAAGTCATATCCATATTTTCCTACTCTTTAATTTGAATCATTTTCCTCTTTCCTGATCTGTAATAGTCAATAAAACATTAATAAAATTAAAAATAATGATTATGTTGATAGTTAGAATTCAACAACATAAACTTTTATGGATAATTTTTTTGTAAAAGGCATTGTGGCGCTCATTGTATTGCATAATTTTAAATAAGGCCTTTGTTACACCTTTTCTCTTGAATGCTAACCATTCTCATGGTACCTGATCATGTTGCTTTATCAAGATAAATCAAAACCATAACTGATCCTTTTTTCTGTTCTTTATAATTTTAATTAACTGGCTTAGTTCTAAGTTCGCTTCCATGGTGGTTGATCCTCATTAAGAGTGTTTGTAAAAAGCATTGAGGCCCTCATTGTTTTGCACAATTTTAAATAAGGCATTTGTTACACCTTTTCTCTTGAATGCTATCCATTTTCATGATATCTGATCATATCGCTTTATCAAGATAAATCAAAACCATGACTGTTCTTTTTTTCCGTTCTTTATAATTTTAATTAACTGGCGTAGTTATAATATCGCTTCCATAGTGGCTGATCCTAGAATAAATCAAGTTTATTATTTAATGCAAACATGATTTTTAATCTTATATTTTAATCTCTTATTTGGAAATTTTAGTGATGTCTTTTAAGTATTGTTCCCTTATATTAACATTTTATCATAATGTTGAATATCTTATTTAATTTGAAATACTGGTACTAAACTAGCATTTTCTTATTTTTTGATTTCCCATGAGTCTTTATGTTTGTTATTAAAAAAAATTACATATCAAACTAGTTTAAATTTTTTTATTTTTGTATAGAAATATATTTTCACCCTAGTCTTACCTTTATGTATCTTCTTAAATACTAACTCAACTTAATTTTTTGGTTTAATTTATCACACATTTTTTTATTCTACCTAGTTGCTATTTTAAATTTATTTATTACTTAAAGCCTTCTGCAATAAATTCCCAAAATATAATTTCAAATTTTTAATGTTTTTATCTATAATTAATATTATATATCCGTTATTCTTAATTCTTATAGCTTGTTAGGAATCTGTAGATCTCATTTCTTTTTTTTTTCTTGGATATCTATACTTCTCCCTTTCTCCATCTTTAGCTTTTGCTTTCTTTGCAAATATCTATTATTTGTAAAGTTCTCTTTTTTTGTTGTTTTCTACCTTTCCCACTAGTCGGTATCATATGAAGAGTTCCT